TTTTTAGAGGGAAATGGAGAAGAGGGAGGAAACCCAGGGAGCCAGCCAAGTGGCTGGAATCTTCTAGAGCAGGGCAAGTGGAAGTTCTTTCAACTAGACCCCAGGTCTTTCTGACATGAACCTAGAAGACTGTCACCACTTGTTGCCAGGGTGACACGCTGCTCCGGGTCGCCCCGCGTACACTCCCCGCCCGCGAGCCGGGATCAGCCCTGCCGCCAGGCGTCCTGCTCCTTTCTGCGAACAGAGCCATCAGGGACCGCCTCCTGGCCGCTGGGTGCTCCCCCTGTGCGGGCTGCGCCGCTGCATCTAGGCCTTTCCAGGGCGCAGGGATGATGATTTCCCAGCGATGCTCCAGTGGTAACTCAGGACCACAGGATTCTGACTTTACCTTCTCTTTCTTCACTCCTCCATGACGCAAACCTAGGTTCTCCCTGACACCAAAACACTCACTCACTCGCCCCATTACCACCGTCACTGGTTACTGAAAAGAGCCTGGGACTTTCAACTTGGCTTCTGTCTATTCCACCAGGAACATTCAGATGACTGAGCTGTAAAGCCCCTTGGAATAGTTCCTGTGATTATGCTGACTGGATACACAGTTCATCGGTTTCATTTTACTTTCAGTTCTCAGGGACTTTTCAATGTAATTTTGTTCTGCAATTATGTAAAATACATGGAGGATTCCAGTCAACAGAGAGGTCGGTGCAGAGGAGTCCGGGTCCAGCTCTGCCTCCTCCATCCTGTTTCCTCCCCCCGATAAACACTTTCTTTTTTGGTTCAGCTGTCAGCGCTCTTTACCTCCTACCGGTCTGTTTCTGTCGGTGTCTAGGAAGGTCCACGTTTCTGCTGTAGCGGTTGCCCTCCGTGTCTCTGTGCGACACCCTCCGTCCTCTCTGGTGCTGGTTGTCTGCTACGGTCAACACTGAAACTGCCTGGAAAACTCTTCCCTCTCCACCCTCTGTATGTCTGATATGAACGTCATTTCACCTCCAGTTAATAATGTACACAAGTAGCAAACAGACGCTTTTCATGTGGACCTCTGGGTCTCTGATACTCGTTAGATGTCACGCACCTCGTCGTCAGAGCACGGGCATTACATACAACAGCCTGGCAGGATCACCATCTCGTGGTTCAGCCCTCCGGATAAATTATGCATTCGATGCTCCATACTGGTCCTTATGCTGACCTCTCCGACCTCTCTGGTGGTCTGAAACCCTCTAGCTGCTTCCCCAGGAAGGGTTCACTGGAACAACATCCCCGAGGATGCCTCTCTGGGCCTTTATACCTCCAAGTCCCTCATGAGCTAGCTCCACGCCCGACTTTGACAACAGCCTAGCAGCCTGTTCACCCGGGTGCCCGGCCACATCCGACAGGCCCACCGACACTCCGGGCAACTCAGCCCTGCAGACCCCGCGGGCCACTCTCCAGAGCTGCGCCCCAACCGCGGGCAGGAGGCCCTCCCAAGTCCTTGTGGTGCCCTTGCAGGAGTGGCTGCGAATCCCTTATGTTAAATTGTCCCTTTTCTGTTTCCCAAATGATGGGCAGGCCAGCGTCTCTTTGTCACATGCACACGTCCTGTGCTCCCCACCAGTGAGCCCCCTGAGGTGGCTGATCATCTGGCTTAAAAAAAACACAAAACTCTCTGTGTCTGTCATCAGGTCAGTGTCATATTCACGGGGATGTCCCAACGTTCGTGTGTCTTCCTTTGCACACCCTTCCTTTGCACACCTTTCCTTTGCACACCCTTCCTTTGCACGCTGCTTCTTGCTGCAGTGCTTCCCCTGCACACACCCAGTGACTCCACACGACTTACCACTGCTCTTATGCAAAACCTAAGGTGTCTTCTTTCTTATCCCCGTGTATAGTAGTATCATAGAAGGATAAAATACTAAAACTTTAGGGGGAAGTGAGTTTTGAGAAGGTTTAAAGCAACTCAAAAATTATAAAAGCTTTTAAAACTCCGACTCTGAAAAGTTACTTGTAATTTGATGAAGAGTCTCCACTGTCCATTCCCGGGGCGAAGGCTCGGCCATGAGCCCAGGCAAATGATCACCTCAAGTACCGCAGTTTCATGTTCAGATGAAAACTATACCCCATGCCTCAGTGCAAAACCTGAAATGCATTTTAGGATAACTGCCAATGCGCCTCCTAACTCTGGGTTTTCAAGGTATTTGAAAACCTGTATCATTTATCAGCACGGTGTGTGATAAATGTGCAGAGAACCAGCAAGACAACCATTCCCACGTTCTCAGAAAAACAGTCTGAGATGTACTAATTGGCCTTGTCAGTTTGAGACTTCATATATAAAGAAAGCAAGGAAGGGTCTCGGATGCTTGCCTCCGTCCCGCAGACCACGTGCTGGTCCAAGCTGCTTGTCCAGTTTGCTTCCCAGCCCTGCTGCTCATCCAGCCAGCGAGCCCCAGGCCCTCCTGTCACAGAAGATCCGGCTTTGGCAGGAGCAGGGAGCAGAGGGCATCGGCCTTCCTGCTGGTCAGACTTTCAAAGGAAGAGGAGAAACAGCTGGTTTTGAACTGCTCACCCCACCTCCGCACTCTGCCGTGGCCAAAGACTGTTCTACTCAAAAAGATCACTCTGCTGCTGAGGATGTTTTGCATTTCAGGCTCTCAGAAGGACTCGGTGAAGAATAATCGTTCAATAGGCCCCCAGGACGCATCGGCCACATTCTGCTACGAGAAAAAACTCACACTTCGTATGTATGTGGTTAATGACAAACTGTATTTGGTGCCAAGGTTTTAAAAAGCACTATTTTGACATTAAATTGTGTTCCTGTCTTTATTAATGGCCTATGTCTTCTGAGTTTTCTTTTTGAGGTTTTCTAAATTTTCCTCTGTAGAACGAAGAAATCTGAAAGTCCTATCATGCCATTCTTTTTAGAGTCTCTAAATTGGAAACAGATAAAGGCACGTATTAGTAACTTCTTATAGCACACAATACAACTTCTATGGAACACCGTATAATTTGTAAGTTTTACCTTAAAATTTTGATTATTTATGGGCTCCAATCGTAAGTCTTACCTCTAAAAATAAAGTATTCTGTTTTCTTATATTAAAAAAAATGGGTGTTTATTCCTAGGCAAAAAAAGCAGTACTATGTTATGGATTTTTCTTTATTGACGACTCAAATTTTAGTCACTAGTATAACAAAAGTATCCTTCTGTTTAAAAAATTGGTCCAGTAAAACTCAAAGGACTGTCTCGAGTCTGTGAAACTTTGGCATTGACAACACTATCTCTTTTGATTTTTCTCTTTGTCTATAGATAGTTGTACCTCTTAAAAGATGGTGAACATTAGTAAATTTCTACTGACAACATCAGCAGATGTAAAAACATGGAACCATAACAACGTTCATTTTCAATGTCAGTGGGAAAATGAGAACTGCCTTGAGGTCTCATTTTTAAAAGTAAAAGGAATACAAGTTAGTGATTCTAAAAGATATTTTACCATAAAAAGCAACCTCCTCTTACAGGCCCAGGGGAATTAACACCTGTGGAATAGCCCCCAACTGTGGCCGCCGGGAGGTGGAGGGGGTCTCGGAGGAACCACACCGGTAGCCCCGAGCACCTGCGCTCCTGGGTGTGAGGACTCCCAGCCTCTGCTCAGGCAGCAGGAGGACCCGCTTACTGTCCCTGTTGTGCTGATACTGAAGGAAAGCCAACCGGAGCTCCCCACAGGCGGGGAAGAGCCACTGACCACGTAACGAAAGAAAACCATGGAGTAAAACTTTACTTGGCCTTTTCCTGCAAAATACAGTAACTCTTCCCCTTAGGTACCATCCGTGGCTTGAGAACAACCACATCAGCATCCTTCTGCTGACAGCAGAGGTCACTCTAACCTGCTGGGGCCTCCCCAGCCTCCCAGGCTAGGTCAGCCCGGGCGCCCCCAGCCCAGAGCTTCTGCCCCCCAGCTCGGCCTGCCTCTCCACGGGCCACCGCCAGGGCTCTCGCCACCTGAGTGGCCGTGAAGGCAGTGCAGGGCAGGGTCCAGCATCACCCGCTAAGGAGATGTTGAGGGCTCTGAAACGCTTTGGGAACCAAGGAATGAATGAGTCATGGAATGAATAAAGGATTGTTGAATCGGCCGAGACAAAGAGGAAATCACTCCTGCTGCACAAAGCAGCCGAGTTAACAAGTCTACGTTGGTGGAGTGGGCGGGGGGTCTGACCCAGTGACCCAGGCCGGGGCATCGGGGCGGGGCGCTCCCCACTCAGCTCGCGGCCTCCATCCGGCACGCAGGCCAGGCGCTTGCGGGTGGTGGGGAGCGGGTGGATTTGCTCTCAAAGGATGACTCAGAAAGCCCAGCTCACGCACCCTGCCCGCTCTGAGGACTTAACCAGGGTGCCCAGGTCCATTCAGGTGCTTCCTGGGAGCCTTGTGGGGGGCTGTCCTCAGCTGGGGTGCACAAGGCACCTGGTTATAGACCAGGGCCTCCCACCTGGCAGGTAAGTGTGCTTCTTTACCTTCAGCCCTCCTCCTGGAGGTCAAGCCGACCTCCCCCTTCCCAGGGGTCTGTAGCCAGACCCCGGCAGCTGGAGGCCACACTTCATCTCCTCTGTCCCCTGAAGTCCTCTGAAATCACTGCTGCCAGGGACACAGTGACCACCGTAGCCAGCGTAAGGGACAGTTTTGGGGTCTGCCACACTGGACAAGGCCCTCCTGCTCTCTCCTGCCCAGGCCCTTCCGGGCCTCACTTTCCCCAGCTTTCCTCTTCCTGCTCCAGCCCCTCCTCACTCACTGCCCCCTCCCCAAAGGCTGTGGTCTCCTCACACTGGGATGTCCAGCCCAGACCTGAGCTCCCTGACCCACCCTGGGCCTCCCAAGTCCTGCCTCTCCCAGGTCCTTCCTGGGAGAAACACAAATGTCCACTCAGGAGGCCACGACAGCCATCTGGGGCATTCCTGGATGTCTCTCTCCTCACTCCTCACATCCAGTCAACCACCGCAATCCAAGCAGCACTGAAAAACCTCTCCCTTCTTTGTCATTTCTTGTCTGGACCTCTGCAGAAGCCTCCTAACTAGTCTCCTTACATCTGTGACTCAAGGAGAATTCTAACCAAAAATAACCACTATGTTCCCTCTCTAAGACCTTCTATGGCTCCCTAGTGCCACTAGGCATAAGCCAAACTCCTCAGGGGCTCCCACGCCCCTCCACCTCAACCACCTGTGGGGTCCATCCACACATGTCCCCCCAGCACCGATCAGCATGCAGACCCTACCCCAGGCTGGTGGAGCAGCCCACGTGGCTGTGCTCTGTACACAGCAGGAAAGATGACTTCACGGACAGACAGAAGGAGGAAGGCGCTGCTTTATGGCAGAGCCCTTTAGGGGAGGCCTCCCTGAGCAGAGGACACTTGGTGATGGTGCAGGCAGGGGGAGTGGGTTGCATGTGGGGATGACACTGGAGGGCTCAGGAGAGAGGAGGGTGATGCCCTGAGCTCAAGGAGTGGAGATGGCTGGGTGGGGGGCAGATTCCCCCAGGGTGAGGAGGGGCCTGAGGGTGGGATGTGGGTGGGAGATAGGCATGGGCTGAGGGGGCCCAGGAGAATGAGGGAATGGTGGCCAAGAGATGGGGGTCAGAGAGGGCAGAGTGTGGGGCCAGCCGAGGTTTGATAGTGTCCAGAGCGAGTGACTGAGGAGTCATAGCTTCGTGGTGGGGAGGGATAAGGAGAGGGTTAACATGTCAGTGGACAGGAAAGAAAGACTGGATCACTGAGTCTGGGGCATAGCTCAGTGGTGGGGGTCTCCAAGAGGGTGCAATTTTGAAGGGAGGAGAGGAAGTGGTTTGGAGGGACAGGGAGGCTGGAGCATGAGGGGAGAGGCCACGGAGGCAAGGGCTGCTGGTGGCCAGGGTCCCGAAAGGAGAAAGTGAGGTGGGGGCTCATGCCGCATCCCAGATGGGGCAATGGGGGAGGCCGAGGGGACAGGAGTCTGGGCTCAGGCTCTCAGGGGCCAGGGGAGCGCAGCTGATACAGCCCCATCACCTTCACTGTCACTGTCACCGTCACCATCACCGTCCCTCAGGCCCTAGCTCTCTTATGATCCAACCCACCCCCTACATCCCTGCACAGAGGCAGCACTCTGTAAAGGTCTTGGGCTTAAGATGGGAAGTGTGCGGCTCGGACGACTGTTGAGGGCACTTGGGGTGTGGCCGGGAGGGGCTGGGAGGCCCCGGGGGCCTGGGGGAGTCACCTGCTAATAATCGCAAGCCTTCCTCTAGCCTGACCTCTGGGCGGCACCGTCATCACACTCAGAGCCGCCTCGCCAGGCGGGGCCCCAGCCGCCCCCACCTGCTGGGCCGCTCTTCCTCCGTGCCCCCTCCTCCAGGCAGCACGGCCCGGGGGCTGGGGGCACGGGGTGGCTCCACACTCACTCCCTCCACTCATTTCCATGTTTCATTGTTGAGAAATGAATTCTATCTTACTTTTGAACATGCCCTGGTTTTAAACCATCCGTTATCCTGTACTTAAGAATCAAGACACATTTCCCATAACGTTTCTTAACGGCAGATAACGTTTCCTCCCTCTGAAGTTACCCCTCCTGCGGCCCAGCTTTGTCCAGCACCACTGAGCCACATCTCGGAGCCCAGAGGAAGCTACGTTCCTTCTGCGGGAGGCTGGGTTCGCTGGAACAAAGTCGTCTGAAGACAGAGGAGAGTGGGAGGAAGGGAGCCCCCGACCCCCCGCACACCTGAGCTGCAGGGCGCGCTCACACTCACACGTTCTCCTTCAGAGAGGCCAGGTAGGTCTCCGTGTCCGAGGCAGGTATGTCCGAGTCGAGTCCCGACAGGTAACGGTAGACGTAGGAGAAGGTCTCGAACGGGATGCAAGCGGGGCCGCCCTCGGGGTCGCTGGTCAGGATCTCACACAGGTGCTTCATCGCGGTCGTCAGCGACTAGGGACACGGCAAACCGGGTGCGAACACGGTTATTACCGGGCTTCGCTAGCGAGCAAAGCCGGCAGCAGGAGAAACACTTGTTGACGTTTTACGGAAATTTTCCCCAAATTCAGAACCAGGGGAATTTATAATTGTCATAAAGAGAAAGGAAAGGTTTGATCAAGATGCGATTAATTCCCAGATTTTATTTTATGAGGAGGAAGCAGCTACCCTGTTGACAACGGACCTCTCAAGCCAATGCAGACCCTCCAGCCCCTTCGGCCCCATGACATACCTACAGGGACGGAGCGGACTGTCCCCAGTCAGAGACCACCTGTAGAGGGTGGGGACTGGCAGGGCAGGGCCCACTGTGCCCCGGCTCTGTGCAGGCTTCAGGTGGGGCTCAGCCTGGCTCTGGGCCTTGTCGCAGGTCCGGAAGGCAGAAGGCCTGGGTCAGCCACCACCCCCACCCCCGCCAACATGCCTGACTTTCAGCAGAACGCTCGTCCTCAGAGAAGCCTTCCCATCTCCACATGGCACAAGCTTCCAGAACATGCTGACCACCCCCACCGTCAAGCCACAAGGGTGCGAGGAACTGTGCTCAGGGTAGGGGGAGCCACCGCCTGGGTCAGACACACCGGGAAGGCCCACGAAGCTGAGGGGGCTGGTCTCAGTGTTAGCTCTCATGCTGACCTCACAGAGCATCTTGGACGAGTGTTAGGATCCATCACTTGCACACATGCAACAGAGGAGCGGGGAGCAGCCCCCGCGAGCTGGGTTACGTTTCCAGGAATGTTGTGAGGTGGCTGATCTCACGGCTTGACCTAAGGAGGAAGAACCTAAGGGAAGACGAGGAGCCCAGACTGCGAGCCTGTAGGACAGACTCAGACCCCCCACGAGAAGCTCCTGAGGGAATGAATCTGGGCTGCACTCACAGGAGGAAAGAGCAAGGAGGGCTACAGAGGACAGTCCCCAGGGAAAGCCGCAGACTTAGGGAAGGTCGCACACAGCCCTGCTTGACTGGGACAGAGACCGGGGGGAGGTAAATCCAGCGTCCCTGAGGACACGTACAGGGCCGGAGCCAGATCTTTTTTTTTTTTTTTTTGGAACACATTTATTATTTCGCAGTTTCTGTGGGCCAGGAGCCTGAGCACTGTCAGCCTCCAGTCAGGTGGTGGCCAGGGTTCAGTTCTCATCCTGAGGCAGGACTGGTGGTGGAGCTACTTCCAACCTGCCTCAGGGTATTGGCAGAACTCACTTCCTGTAAGACCGGTCCGGGGCACTGGCTTCTTGCCGGCTGTTGGCCGAAGTCCCCCCTGAGCCCTTGAAGGCCACCTGCAGCTCCCTCTCTGAGGTCCTCTTAGAACACAGCAGCTTGCTTCTTCAAAGCCCCAGGACTTTGGCCAGGTTCTCACAGTAAATATCAGAGAAAAATCACCTGTGCTTCCGGCAGGGGGAGGGGAAAGGCAGCTGGACTGAAACAAGGTTCACGTCCCAGGCACGAACGGGCCTCTCATCTACTGGTTAGAGTAACTTTGTGAGATGAGGTCAGCGGGGCCCAGAGAAGCTGAATCACTTGCCCCAGGTAAGCCAGCTGGGACCCAGTGCAGGCGGTCGGCCTCCTGAGCCCAGCGGTGACCACATATTCCACCACCGCTAACGGCCACTGGGCTGGCTCAGGGAGTGAGTGACGGGCAGACTGGTGCCTGGATTCCAGGCGTTCAGCCGGAGGGTGTGAAGCCACCTCCCCCATCACCATCAGCCCAGGGCTTTGGGCGTCTGCAAAGCCACTTCCCACCTGCCCTGGCCAAGACTCGTGCCCCTGCTGTGCTGGAATTCCGGGCCGGGGACAACACAGTTCCGACGTTAGCCTGACACTGGGGGCAGAAGGATGCTCTAATTAGAAAAATGATGGCATTCATTTCTCCAAGGACCACCGCGCACACCGATGCCCCTGAAAGGCTGTCCTGAAGGAGGACTTGGAGAAGACAAAGTTGTGTCTTTCACAGGTTCCTTGCTCGAGATGTCAGAGATGGGTTTTTTATTAGACTTTGCTGTTTTACCCAACATGATGGTGGAACGTCGTCATGTGTGTGGAACTGCGGGGCCTCACTGAGGGAGGAGAGGAGGCAGCAGCTGGTGAGGAGCCCACAGATGAAATCTGAGTGACGTGATGTTCAAATGCTTCCGAGGAAGAGGTATTTAAGGAAGAAATCCATCCAAACATCCTGGCATCACTCTGCAAAGGCGCAATGACGCTACCGGTGTTAACACTTCTGACAAAAAGATTTGCAGCAATTTTTAAACCCAAAAGGATTCACAAAGCAACTTGCTTGGTTTGGAGAGTTTCTTTCCCTGAAACAGACTTCTCAATTCCAGGGGGTCGTGGGTCCTAAGGCTACAGCTCGCCAGCCACAAGGACCCCCCCCTTGGCAGACGTCCCTTTTGACCTCCTGCAGATTTTTCCTCTGGTTTGTAATCCATCCAGGAGGAGGGGACTGCACTGTTGTCAGGCAAGTGTTCACTCCTGAGCCGCATGTGAACCTGGAGACGCATGAGAAACACGAGCATGGAGGTCCTGTGGCTTCCTGAGCATCCTCGGCGCCTGTCCTGTGGGTCTGTCATTTCAGAATTTCAGCGGTTCTCATGACGATGAGCGCCTCACAGCGCCCACAGTGTCCCATTTAGCTGCAGAGAATGACAACACGGGTGATACCCTGGCTGACCCTTTGATGAGAGTAGGAACAGATAGGGACTCGCTCCTGTGGTGTGGCCTGAGCTCGAGGGAGACCGGACTCTGCAGCCTGCAGTGCCATTGACCCCAAATCTCCGTTTTAACAGCCCTTCTCATTTCCTTACCCTCACAGATTTCCTAGTTCACAACGCGGTCGTGGGCTTTGTGACCGATGCAGGTGGGAGACCCACACTCTTAGGGGGTGGGGGAGCGGTGTGGGCCTGGAGTGAAGCCAGTCCATCAGGCTGAAGGGATGGACGGGCCACCACGTCCAGCATCCGCCGCTGCCACCTCCCCCTTCCCCACGGAGGAGACGCTCAGCTCAGGGGAGGGGGGTGGGATGTGAGCCCAGGGGCCCACGAGCAGCTGCTTCCTCTCGGTGGGAGGCAGGTACTAAACGTGCCCATGGCCGGAGGCTCACTCTCACGGCTGCACCGGCTGCAGGGGCGACAGAGAGCCACGTGGGCATCTCAGAACCGGCTCTAGGTGCTCAGCGGGGGAACCTGACGGGGCGGAAAGAGGCTGGGGAGTGAGCGAGACGTCGCCGCCACCCCTAGGACAGGGGCTGCCACCCCCAGCCCACCGGGCACCTCGGTGGGTCAGGGACACCAGACCCAGCACGCAGAAGCACAGCTGTGGGCGGATGAGGGTCCGAGAACCGCAGGATGAGTGCAGCTGGGAGGCTGACACCTAGCGCTTTTTAGGGTTGGGACCACTTTAGGAGTCCTGCTCCCTGAGGCCACATCCCAGCCTGTGGGCGGCACGCTCACCAGAGGGGCCCCTCCACCCCAAGCCCGTACTCCGCTAGTGGCGGCCCTGGAGTCCGCGGTCTGAGTTCAGATCCCCCCTGACCACTTCCACCTGCCGCACCTCCCTCTCCATAGCGCCCTATCCCACGATTCGGAGAACAGGACTTTCCTCAAAGCATTGCTGGGAGGACTGAGGAGAAAGCAAAGGGCTCCAAACACGCCCGCACCTGGGGAGAACCCTGGAAACAATGGCCATTCGTAAGCAATCCGCTCGGATGGAAAAGTATGTTACGCGCGTGTACATTTGCCACTGTACACGCAGAGGGATGCTCTTGGGAAGGATAAAGTGCAGGTGC